GGTAGAGAGAGAGGTATCTGTGCCTAGAACCCACAATTGACAGCAACTTATCAGAAGACCAAAACATAAACTCCTGCAATACAGATGCCTTATCTTGTGCCTTGTTTGACAGAACTTTCCTTGAGCGGATGATAGATTTTCAGAACAGATTTGGTGAGTGATGGATGAGTCTACTGATTGCATCTCTGGCCACCTCTAAGAGATTTAGATCCAGTGGAAGATATTACTTCCTTCACCACTGGGGAAAATTGTGGCAGAAATGAAGGCACAAGGGACTCCAGAGAAGACAGGGAGTGAGCAAGGGAATAACTGGCACAGCCTTGTCTCCTGGTACTTTTCTCCTTCCAGAGACAGTAAATGAATCCCCCAAAGAGCAAAAGACACGCTCTGCTTATAATCCCTGGATCCTACAGCACATACATTCACTGATCTTCATCCCAATCTATTTTTACACCTTCTCTCCCAGCTAGTTACTACAAAGACAACTACTTCAACTCTCAGAAAATCTTACGAGAAGCTGACTGAGAAGCTTCAGTTGGGATTTCCTTTCCTGCTTCAAGAAAGAAGGTAATGTAGTCCTTAGAGGAGAAAAACTATTCAAATATAGCTGGAGAATCTACATCTCTGAAAACAAAATTTCCTGCTAACTCCGCTACAGTTTTAAGCAAAATGTCTAAAATTTATTATATGTCAGATATTGACACAGGGCTTTCTTGTCAATTCATTATCTCATTCATCAGTCTTTATAACAATGATTCACAGAAGGCATTGTCATCTCCATATGAAATTTGAGGAAACTAAGAGACAAGAAATAAATGCCTTGCAGAATTTCCCACAACAATGCAATGTAAATTCTGGAATTCAAATGCTGGGATCCCATATGCAAATCCAGTACTACCCTAGTATAGCACCATTGCCTGCCACTTACCAGCAATTGATAAGTCTACTTACGTTCAAGGGCTTTCAATAAAGTTTATACAAGGAGATAGAGGGCTCTATAGCACTAATTGGTTGCCAGGAATTTTACAAATATTCTTTATTTAATCCTCAAAACAACCTCTGTGGTCAGTACTCTTTGTCTCTCCACCTCACAGAAAGAAAACGAAAGCATACAGAGGTTAATAACCTGTCCAGCATCCACAGCTAGAAAGTGGGGGAGGCATGATTCAAACCCGGATGGTCAAGCTCTGGAAGCTGTCCTCCTCCACGGAACAGCTTGTCCAGGCCAGGGAGGTGGAGCACTTTGTTCACAGGGGAATTGTCTGGACTGCTGCTGAGAGAGTTAACTAGTGAGCACACCAAGACTTCCACTCCACTGGGGTTTCTGTTGAAGGATCAGCTTTAGGGAAAAAGAAAGTATCAGTTAAAAATATCCAGATTATTAAATTAGCATCCAAAAGTTGGAAGTTCGGATATGTGTGTAGCTTCCAGACTTCTGGAGACTAATTTCACAAGTTTGAGAGTAAAGCTTGTTTGCTTTGTTTGGTCAATCCTCTGTCCAAGCAGCCTGAGTGCAGAGACACAGCCTTGAGGCCCCGTGCTCATATTCTCATCACTTTGGCCACAGCACTCACTGCAGCCAATGCTGGGGGACCAAGCCAACTTAGACTAACAGGTTAACACAGCAGCTGCTTTCTACGCTTAGGAGCTAACTGACAAACGATGAGAAACAACAGAGCTTAGTGGAAATATCTCTACCTTTATCCACACTTAATTTTATTAAGTTTAGCATAAAATATTTTTACACATTTCCTATTTTCCAGGACAGTTTTGTCAGACTTGTACTTGGCAAACTATCCTGAAAGGGGACTGTCCTGAATTCTGTACCTTCACATCTAATTAACACAATATCCAGCATAGGTTTTCTTTCCCAGATGATATATCACTTCTAGATTTGCAAGTCTAGCTGACCCGTGTAGTCTGGGCATTCCTCGAATAGCAATAAACATCTCAGAAATGAATGGGATTAAGAATTATGTAGTACAACTCCCATCTAAGAAACTAAAATTTAAAGGTGTTTAAAAAAAAATGTTCGATCCATAAAGCAAGTTAATTTAAAAAGAAATTAATAGAATTTAGGCCCTTGTCTGTCCACTCTGCTGCCCATCTGTTGGCAGTTGAAGGGATAACCATTTCGAATCAAATAGCATCTGTTACCAAGAACATTCGATCTCTCAAAACCACCTTTCAAATGAATTCCCTGAATCTATATCTGTACTCTAGTAACTTCAAAAAATAGAGAGAAGCTCTTAAATTACACATTCCTGCAAATCTTACTCACATCATTTTTTAGGTTCACATGGTATAAAAATAATTTTCATTAAATAATGTTGTTTTAAAGCTTGGAACACATTTCTCTCAAAATGTCTTCTATTTATAGACATTTTTAAAAGGACCTTTAATTATGTTCATTACAATTCATCCATTTTCCAAAGTTTCTATGATAAACATATTTTAAAATTAGAAAAATATATTTAGGGAAAAAGAGAGCAGTTACACAAAAATTTATTAAATGCCTACTATGTGCCACAACTATAATAAAGCCCTGAATTCAGCAGACAGGCTCCCTGCGCTCATTCAACTGGCAAAGGCAACAAATAAGTAAAGAAATAAAACAATTTTAGATTTTGATAAGTACTAGGGAGAAAACAAATAAAATTTTATGAACAAAAGAATAGCAGGGGAATTTACCGGGGATATTCAGAAGAAAAGAATAACTAGTCTGGACACTGAAGAATGGGCTCTAGATGAGATTTCCAAGCAAAGAGAACACCTAGAGCAAAGAACCTGGTTAGAGAAGGACTTGCTTATTCTAGGATAGAAAGAAGGCCTGTAAGAGAAGAAGGAGAAAGAAGGAAAGGTAGACCAGGAAGGGGGAAGGAGTAGGGAAGAAATTCATGAAGTAGGTGGAGGCCAGATCCTTCAGAAGCCCACGCGCCAAAATGGAGCTTGGATTTTATTCTAGAGAGGGAAGTTACTGAAGGGTTTTACACACACAAAAAAAACTGATCTTATTTACATTCTGAAAATGTCAGTACGGCTGCTGTGTAGAGAAGCAAAGGCAGGAAGCAGAGAGGTCGTTCAGGAGGCCTTTGTAGTCATCCAGAGAAATAATACTGATAGCTGGAACAAGGGGAGTGCAGGGGAAAGAGAGAGAAGCAGATGAATCAAGTTCTCTTTCAGAAATACAGCAAATAGGAATTGCAGCTGTATTGTGTATGAAAGCTAAGAGAAAGGGAGATGTAACATAAAAACATAAGGGAAAAAAGAAAGTCCTCAAATATTTACTCAACTATCCACATAGCCAGGAACAAGATGGTCAAATAGATGACTGCACATAAATTGAGATTTGAGGAAAACTAGCAAAATAATCCAAATCAAAAATACACAACTACTCTTTGCAACAACATAGATGGACCTGGAGGGTATTATGTTAAGTGAAATAAGACAGACTGAGAAAGACAAACACCATATGATTTCACTCATCTGTGGAATATAAACAAACACATGGACAGAGAAAACAGCTCAGTGGTTACCAGGGGAAGGGGGATGGGGTGGGCACAGGGGGTGAAGGGGAGCACTTATGTGGTGACGGACAAGAAATAACGTACAACTGAAATTTCACAATGATGTAAGCTATTATGAACAAATAAAAAAATATGTTCAGTTAAAAAAATATATACAGCCACCATTAAGCAACAGATTCCTTGAATTGATAAAAGCCAGGTGTCATTTCTCAAAGTTAATAGTACAAACTCACAATCTTCATAAAACGTTTGTTTTGTTTTGTTTTAACTTCTGAGAGCAAAATAACCTGTGTTCATCAGTTATACCAAATCTTGCCTTCTTCCATATATGAGTAAGCAGTGTGCCAAATGACCCCAACATTAGTTTTAAAACATTCTACAAAGAGATAAGGCAAATTGGTGGGGGGGGGGGGGGGGGGGGGTGGGAAGTAAACTTCTTCAACAAAGGCAAAGTCCTGAATATTTTAATCCCAAATGAATATAGCAGAGAGTCATTTCACAAATATGAGATATTTTCATAATATCTGCTTTCAGCTCTCTTTCATGAGAAATAAATATATTATCACTTGAAGCTTAATCTGAGCCCCTAGACAGATGAATTTAAAAGCTGAGCAAAAACATATGGAAGACAGAGCTCCTAACGCAATTACCTTCACCTCACCATCCCACCCTAGACGAGGCGGCAAAGTTCTGTGGTGATAGACATCAAGGCAGAGACAGTTAGAATCACAGGAGCTCTTATTGGACACATCAGTGCCCCTTGACATGGAATCAAGTAATGTCATAAACAAACTTGACCTAGAGAAAGGGTTCTAGCACACCCCTGCCTCCTTATCCCAGAGAAGAGACCTATCTCAAGATGGTCAGATTACTGATGTTAATGTTATCTTTCAGGATACCTATCCAGATGGCCTTATGTGCTATGTTCCAGGTAGTTTTCCCCAGAAAACTTTGATGCATTTATTCTTGAGTTGATAGATAGTGGCATTAGAGAGAATAAATCAACAGGCTAGCTTGAAATACAGTCTACTACTAAGTAATTTCTAAGTGACATCAAAAGTCCTGCCTTTTTCCTGCTCCAGAAAGACATGATCCAACAAGGTACCTGCCTACAAGCAGATGCATTAGGAGAGTACTCACAAGTATTTAGAAAATGCACTTAACCATTCATTAAAAAAAATTACAGAAACCTTTCTAAATGCAAGGATCTTGTGTGTCCCCAGTCACTTCTATGACACTGCTGTTTGACGTAGCCATAACCTCGGCCTACTCTTAAAAAAGTATTTGCCAGGGGGGCTGGCCCCGTGGCCGAGCGGTTAAGTTCGCGCGCTCCGCTGCAGGCGGCCCAGTGTTTCGTTGGTTGGAATCCTGGGCGCGGACATGACACTGCTCATCAAACCACGCTGAGGCAGCGTCCCACATGCCACAACTAGAAGGACCCACAACAAAGAATATACAACTATGTACCAGGGGGCTTTGGGGAGAAAAAGGAAAAAAATAAAATCTTTAAAAAAAAAAAACAACAAACAAAAAAAAGTATTTGCCAGGAAAAGAGCTAACCCAGTATATTTAAAGAGGGGATAAAAGGAGAATTATACATTGTAATGTCAGTCTGCGTTGCATTCTCCTACCTGGGGTAAGCTCCATGATATAGGGATTTTCATCTATTTTGGTCACCACTGTATGCGCAACATCTAGAAAAAATACCTAGCAAATAGTAAACACACTATAAATATTGAATTAATAAGAAGAAAACAAACAAATATCAGTTTCCTGTATGGACAAAGAAAATGAAATCCCTCTGCTTTCCATGGGTATTTAGTAATTTGGGGTCCTTTCACAGCTCACAGACCCATGAAAATCCCCAACAACTCCAACGCCATCACTGGCTTCATCCTCCTGGGCTTCCCTTGCCCCAGGGAGGGGCAGATCCTCCTCTTTCTGCTCTTCTCTGTTGTCTACCTCCTGACCCTCATGGGCAATGGTTCCATCATCTGTGCTGTGCGCTGGGATCAGAGACTCCACACCCCCATGTACATCCTGCTCGCCAACTTCTCCTTCCTGGAGATCTGCTACGTCACCTCCACTGTCCCCAACATGTTGGCCAACTTCCTCTCTGACACCAAGGTGATCTCCTTCTCGGGGTGCTTTCTCCAGTTCTACTTTTTCTTCTCCTTGGGTTCTACAGAATGCTTTTTCTTGACTATTATGGCATTTGATCGATATCTCGCCATCTGCCAGCCTCTCCATTACCCTACTTATATGACTGGACGTCTCTGCACCAATCTTGTGGTCAGCTGCTGGGCACTTGGTTTCCTCTGGTACCTGATTCCCATCGTCATTATCTCTCAGATGTCCTTCTGTGGATCGAGGATTATCGACCACTTCCTGTGTGACCCAGATCCTCTTTTAGCACTGGCTTGCGAGAAGGCTCCTGGGGTAGAGCTTGTCTTCTCCACTTTAAGTGCTGTGCCCATCGTCATTCTCTTTGTCCTCATCATGGGATCCTATGTTCTGGTCCTAAAAGCTGTACTGAAAGTCCCTTCAGCAGCTGGGAGAAGAAAGGCTTTCTCCACCTGTGGGTCTCATCTGGCTGTGGTTTCACTGTTCTATGGCTCAGTACTGGTCATGTATGGGAGCTCAGTAACTGAGCAAGAAGCTGGAACACAGAAGATCGTGACTCTGTTTTACTCTGTCGTGACGCCACTCCTTAACCCTATGATATATAGTCTTAGGAACAAAGATATAAAAAAGGCCCTGAAGAAATTTCTGAGAATATAAAAAGTGTTCATCAAAAAGGCTTTTGGGCTCTTAGAGCCCAAAATTATATTTAACTTATTTACAAACATTTACAAAAATTGTATTTTACTCATTTTCAAGTTAAAAAAAAAATGTTGTTTAAGATAATTGTTCATCCTAGTATTGACTAAAACTTCAATCACCTGTGAGCATGATTTTTGTTTATTTCTTCTCTTGGTCCTTCATCATTTGTCCTGTTTCCTACCATGCCTCAATTTTTTTCATTAAATGATAAACATTATATTTAAAAAATTGTAAAGAAAATTAGTTTAGTAACTCAAGAAAAATTAAGTTTTCTTCTTGCAATAGATAGAGGCAGATCACTTTGATCTCACATAAGAACTATTTTTAGCTGTTGTAAAAATAGTCTACACCAATTTTGCTCTTATTTCTGGAATGTAACCCTTACTCCAGGCACATTGCCTTTCTGAGATCTCAACTGCAAGCCTGGACTGTTTCAGGACCCCTCCCCCTTAATGGGCCTGACTTCCTATTTCTGTGCTCCTTGAACCCCGTGAATCCTGAAACCTCTGCTCAGCTCTTCAGATTTCCAGTTTCTGGTTTCTTCTAGATTTCTTGAAATCTTATCCTGCATATAAATGGTTTAGAAATCCCAAAATGACTTGAATAGGTATTGCATTATATTTTGAGCCTCACTTCTCTGTGGTCCTCCTCTCTTCAGGATGTGTTTCTTAAACCCCAGCTGCTTTGGCAGCCATAAACACCAAATTTTTTATTTCCTCAATGCAGTGAAATGACTGCTTTCTGCTGAGACTTTATTCTGCCTACCCCCATTCCTTCCCTCATGCCTCCACATGCCCATACTTCCCTGACCAAGTGAATTGTCAAGTTTCCTCAGGGAAAAACACCCAAGGTAAATGTGGACCTCATCTCCTTGACCCTCCCTGCCTGGAAGTGTAGCTCCTGAAGTCTTGTCTATGTTGACTGCTCTCTAGTGCTTTCAAATGGGTTTTTTATGTACTTTGTCCAAATGCTATAGTTACTTTTGGTGGATGGGTTAGTTTCATGCAAGCTTACCATAACCAGAATTCTTTTCTGTTATATCTAAGTTCATACATTCTCACTTCTTCCCTCACATTCAGAAGATGATCTTGTATCATAACCATGCAAAAACCCACAAATCAGAGACAAGTGGATATAGGGACTGTTATAAACACAAGTCTGGGATGTAGACCTGCTTTTCTTTTCATTGCAAGCAGCTCCATATATTCAAGGATTCTACCCTTGAAAGCAGGGTAGGGTGGAGGGGGCTCACAGTAAAATAAGAGGTAAAACCAGGACCACAGAGATCAGATTTAGGCCATATTTTTAAAAACTATTTAATTAGGATTAGTATTAGTAATGGGCTAGTTCTTCAATTTCCTGCTTGCCCTGAACGAAAGGTCTTCCTATTATTGCAGTGTCTTTACCATTTCAACTACTGGATTCTGCAGAGAAGAAAATGAGGATTGAGAATCAGAAGTGATTTGCTGAAGATATTAACTTTAATGGTAAAAAACAAAAATTTCCTATCTACCAGCCTTTTCACTAGCCCAAGTTACTTTTTTTTCCTGACTAATCCTATACTTCTGTCTTTAGGATTTCTCAATTAATTGCCAGTTAAACAATGTTCGTTTCCTTAACATACATAAAGTTCTGTAGACAGTAAGACAACAGAGCAACATCCCAAAAGGAAAATGAGCAAAAAGATATAAACAAATAACATACAGAAGAGACTTTTAAACATGTGGGAAGAGCACCAATTCATCCATGAAAAGAAAAAGGCAGAGTAAGCCTATAATTGGTGAGAACAAGGAGACAACGGGCCCAAAATGGAATCACTTGTGTTAGGCCTTGTGGCAGCAAACCAAGACTTACAACCTAACATGATTACAGTTACAACCTCCCTCAGAAATGTGGCTTTTAATCAGCCAACTTGAAATTTCCTGGTCAGCACGAGGAAATTTAGTGACAGACCTCTTCCATTCCCCTTAGGAGGGCCACCTTGCTTAAAACAATGCATTCTTTGCTAATAATTTCCTTTTCTCTGCTCCCTCTATCTTTAAAAACTTTCCTTTTTTGTAGCTAGATGCAATTCCTTTTTTCTTTGCTAGATGGGATGCTGGCCAATTCATGAATCACTCAATAAAGAATATTCAAGAATATTCAATGTAGTATTGTTGTAACAGCCAAATGTTGAGGAAAATATCAGTTCCCACTAAATTGGTTAAATGAGCTACGGTTGTCTAGCTAACTGAGCTATGGTTGTCATACAATGGAATACTGTTTCTTCAATTTTATAAAATATGAAGTAGCTCTATATGTAATGTAATGTACTATCTCCAAGATATATTGTAGAGTGAAAAAAGCAAGGTGAGCAGCAAAGTGTGGCTACTTTTGATATAAATGTGTACAATGTCTCCTGAAGAAGATCCAGAAACTGGTAACAAGGGATCTTCAGGTGAGGCGAATTTGACGTCTGAGGAACAAGGGAGTAAAGGAGATTTATTTTCTTCACACCGTTTTTTGAACTTTTTCAATTCTTTGCCATGCACCTGTATTATTTATATAAAAATAATAATAATACAGTTGTTTTTAAACAAAGAATAACTTGCTAGAGGAATTTTCTGATAATTAGATCTAGAAATCCTTTTTCCTCCCACAATTCTAGGGTTCCTTAGGAGCCTATTGGTTTATAGAAAAGTTGAAGGAGCACCCTAAGAACACCTTAATATGATTTCATTCAGACTTTTTGGTACTTCAGAGAAAATATGAGAAATGTCTTTCTCCTCTTAGGACTTGTACAAATATACTGTGACAAACTGTAAGTAGTTTATCACCTTTATACTTAGCCATCCTCTCCCTCATTATTCAATTATATATTTTTATTGTTGTTGTTGGGCACCTACAATACTGGACAAGAGCCAGGAAATAAATTTGATACAAAAGTACATAAGACACATTGTTTTCCCTCACAGGACTTGTAGTCTCACGGTAGAGATATACAATAAAATTGCAAAGGTTTTCTTTTTATTTAATGGTAGAAGTGCAATGATAGGGGAAAGAATATATACTGTGGAAGATCATGAGAAGGACATTTGTGTAAGTATGGATTTTGGTCATGTGAAAGAGAACTTAAGCATAGCTAATTATACAGCAATGCCTTTTTGCAAGTGTACCTCAGGTTACAGAATAGAAGTGTTTCTAGAAATTCTCTGTAAGCCACCACATAACCAACCACTCCTAGAGATTATTAATTAGTTCCCCAAAACAAAATAAGTATGACTATAAAATATAGTATAAAGTCCAAACTGAAATATAATTTTAAAATTTTAAGTAAACACAGGTTTTAGTAATAGAAAGCTGGATTACTTCAATTTACCATCCTGCCAAAAATAAAGTACTAAATTAAAAGAAAACAACAAAACTTGAAAACACTGAAAATCAGAAAAGACAATAGGAAATTCCTAAGTCAATGTTTTTATGAAAATCTGAGTGGCAAGTACTAAAGTCATTCATGTTCAGAGGACACTTGACCATAGTTCAAATCCTTATGCTTCATAACAATGCCTAGCTGGGAAAATAGAGAGGGGAACCCAGGGCTCACATAAATTTGGATCCCTTAATGGTCTTCATCCTCAAGTAAATATGAACCAGAACTAAACCTGACACCACTGAGAAGGAAAACCAAAAATTAGCTATCCCTGGAAGTTTGTGACCATGGTTCAGCTGTGGCTCGGATTGACACACACCATTTTCTTGAATTCCCCCAATATATTGCCTGCGATATATTCTCCTTCTGGTCATATTTAACTTTCTAATAAAAGAGCTGTCATCCCCTTCACTTTGTCTCTCTTCATAAATGGACAAACACACACATACATACACACACACACACACACACACCTTACAGCCCATGGTTCTTTTTTTTTTCTCTCATTTATTTATTTTCAGATGTACATCATAATATATTTCAAATTCTGTGTAGATTACATCATGTTCACCACCCAAAAGCCAATTATAGTCCATCCCCTCACATGTCAGCTTAATCACCCCTTTTTGCCCTCCCTCCTCCCCCCTTCCCCTATGGTAACCATCAATCCAATCTCCAATGCTATGTGTTTGTTTGTCGTTATTTTTATCTTCTACTTATGAGTGAGAACATATGGTATGTGACTTTCTCCCTCTGACTTAATTCACTCAGCATAATACCATCAAGCTCCATCCATGTTGTCACCAAGGGCCGGATTTCATCATTTCTTATGGCTGAGTAGTATTCCATCGTGTATATGTACCACATCTTCTTTATCCATTCGTCCCTTGATGGGCACCTAGGTTGCTTCCATGTCTTGGCTATTGTGTATAATGCTGCAATGAACATAGGGGTGCAAGTATCTTTATGCCTTTGTGTTTTCAAGTTCTTTCGATAAATACCCAGCAGTGGAATAGCTGGATCATACGGTAGATCTATCCTTAATTTTCTGAGGATACTCCACACTGCTTTCCATAGTGGCTGGACCAGTTTGCACTGCCACCAGCCATGAACAAGGGTTCCCTTCTCTCCACACCCTCTCCAACATTTGTTGTTTCCTGTCTTGTTAATTATAGCCATTCTGACCGGAGTGAGGTGATATCTCATTGTAGTTTTGATTTGCATTTCCCTAATAGGTAATGATGTTGAGCATCTTTTCATATGCCTGTTGGTCGTCCGTATATCTTCTTTGGAGAAATCTCTGTTCAGATCTTTTGCCCATTTTCTAATTGGATTGTTGGTTTTTCTGTTGTTGAGCTGTATGAGTTCTTTGTATATTTTGGATATTAACCCCTTATCTGATATATGGTTTGCAAATATCTTCTCCCAATTGTTAGGTTGGCTTTTTGTTTTGTTGATGGTTTCCTTTGCTGTGAAGAAGCTTTACAGTTTGATGTAGTCCCATTTGTTCATTTTTTCTTTTGTTTCCCTTGCCCAGTTAGACATGGGACTTGAAAATATGCTGCTCAGACTGATGTCAAAGAGCATACTGCC